CCTAAGCCCCTAAGCCCTAAACCCTACATCCTAATCCCTAAGCCCTAAACCCTAAGCCCTAAACCCTAAACAGCCCTAAACCCAAAATCCTAAGCCCTAAACCCTAAACCCTAAGGTGTCAGCCCTAAGCCCTAAACCCCGAAATCCTAGACCCTCACACCCTGAGCCTTCAGAGGTATTGCTACGGCGCCAACAGGCGTGCCGAGCGACCGGTCCGGCTTCTTGGTCCGTTTTCGTTTTTCGGGTATCGGCTTAGGGGTTTTTGGGGTTTAGGGTTTAGGGTTTAGGGTTTAGGGTTTAGGGTTTGGGGTTTAGGGTGGTCCCTTCTCGTTTTTCGCGTTTCGGGCCTAGGTGCTTTTGAGGCTTTAGGGTTTGGGGCTTAGTGTTGAGGATTTGAGGCTTAGGGTTTTGGGGTTGATGGTTTGGGATAGGGTTTAGGGTCTGGGGCTGAGGGTTTGGGGTTTAGGGCTAGTAGGGTTTGGTGTTTAGGGCTGAGGATTGAAGACTTGAGGTTTACGGTTTGTGCCCAAAACCCAAAACCCTAAGCCCTAAAAACTGAGGGTTCAAGAGCTGCCTGGTTCGCACCCTGCTGGACAACTGAAGCTCGATAGAGCGCAAGGCCTACCCGCAACTTACTTCTCAGTTCCCCAATTCCCAACCTTTTCAACTTTTTGTGTTCTTATAATTTAGTCGTAATCTGAAAGTTCAACCTTTACTTCTCTGGCTTATTGGGGAAGTAAGCAATTGGCCTAGAGTTTTGAGGGTTCCATTCTACGACGCGCCCCTAAACCCTACACCCTCCTTGCGTGATCCATCAGAAAAAAGGGAGACTGTTAGGTTGGCAATGTGGGTGACTAAACCCTTCTTATAAATATAGTATGAAGGAGCCCAAAAGGCCCGAAACCCTCTTCTAATTATTGGAAGCCCTACATTACTCTTTTGTGGTGTAGGGCATGGGCTCCGCGGTGTAGTCTCTGGGGTTGAACGCCCAGCCTTGGCTAGGAGCAAGGAGTCGGGGTTCTGAGTTTAGGCTCCTGGTTCATGAGCACCCCTTTGGGTCCCTGTTGGATACAATTTTACATGTTTGTTAAAACCCAATAAGGCTATAAGGATTAGAACTTATCATGTTGAATATAGCCCCAACAGGGAACCAGTCCTTGCGTCGGAAGCCTGATGGGCAGGACTGGCATGCCTCATGCCCAGTCATAGGTGTAGACATGACTTTGTTCTATTCTCTCGCCCTAAACCTAAACCCTAAACCTCCTGTGGATTCGAAGGTTTGGGCCGGAGATTCCAATGAGTTTTCCTCTGACAACCTGAACCCGAAGCTGTAGGCGCTGAAATTCGTTTGGGGTCTCTGAGCCATTAGAGAAGGGTCGAAGTGTCTTGGGCCTGCCAGCAAACCGCAAGACTAACTTTTCTGGTTTGTGTAATAGTATATGTAAACACAGATAAATATGAGCATATACATATATATATATATATATTACACATGTGTATGTATGCGCGTGTGTGTATATATCTGTATATATGTATATATATATATAGAGAGAGAGAGAGAGAGAGAGAGATATCTGAGGGTCTCGCAACATGGAACAGGAATTGCGGGCTGGGGCCCCCCATTCCAAACCTCATGCAACCCTAAACCTTGACCCTCAAGCCTTAGCCCAAAGATCCGTCAGCATCCGGAAGCCTTCCGCCAAGCCTAAACCCTAAACCCTAAACCCTTACCCAGACCCCCGGGAGGATCCAAAAAGTAGATCCCTTAAGGGGGTTCCTATAGAGTACCCTTTAGTAGTATAGGGTCCCAAATTAGGGGTTCTACTTTCTAGATCCGCCCGGAGGTCTGGGTACATCAACCCTCATCCCCACCACCCTAATTTCCTAGGTAGTGTTAGGGGAGACCCCTTGCAGGCGACCCTTCTGAACCCTACGCATGGCTCTGCTAAGAGGGACCTTATGGAGAGGGCCTAAATCCGCCAAAAACCCCGTAATCCTAACTGCCATAATTTAGGGTTTAGGGTTTAGGGTTTAGGGTTTAGGGTTTATTTAAATGCTGAAACCCGAAGCTCCTTCGACCACAACCTCAAGCACCTTAGCTGGAATCCTCAGACCCCCCCATAGATCAACAAAAGCCAGAAAGCCCAGAAACCCATCAACGCCCTAAGCCCTAAGCCCTAAGACCCTAAGACCCTAAACCCCTAAACCCTGAACCCTGAACAGAAATAATGCTCCCAAGTTCCAAGGTTGGTTTTTTCCGGCATTGCCCAGGGAAGCGACTTGACACGGAGCGGATTTAGGGTGTAGGGTTTAGGGTCAAGGGTTAGGTTTTCAGGGTTTCAGGGTTTAGGGTTTGGGGTTGAGGGAGCTGAGCAGTACAAGCCTTAAGCAACCAACTAGCCCTACAACCCTAGAAGCCCTTGCACCTTCGATCCCCTAAACCCCCCCTCCCCCCACAGCCTGAAATCCATAAGCCAACAAAACCAAGGAAGCCCAGAAACGCATCAACACCCGAACCCCTAAACCCCTAAACCCCTAAACCCCTAAACCCCTAAATCCCTAAACCCCTAAATCCCTAAACCCCTAAATTCCTAAACCCCTAAATCCCTAAACTCCTAAATCCCTGAACCCCTAAAGCCCTAGACCCGTAAACCCTAAACCCCTACACCCTAAACCCTAAACCCCTAAACCCTAAACCCCTCAACCCCCTAACCCCTACACCCTAAAACCCCTCAACCCCTGAACCCCTGAACCCTAAACCCGTAAACCCCTAAACCCCTAAACCCCCAAACCCCCTAACCTGCCTCGGCAGCCCCGAGAGGAGTGCGGCGGATGCAGCCCCAAGGGCGGCCAGGGCAGGGCCCTCTTTGCCCGTCCGGGAGCTGATGCGAAAGCAGATCCTGGCGGGCTTTAGGTGGGGTTTAGGGCTTATCTAGTGTAGTTAGGATTTGAGGTTTTAGGGTTTAGGGTTTAGGGTCTAAATTGCAGGTCTACTAGGGTTCAGGTGGGCTTTAGGTGGGGTTTGAGGTTTAGTGTAGTTAGGGTTTAAGGTTTTAGGGTTTAGGGTCTAAGTTGTAGGTCTACTAGGGTTCAGGTGGGCTTTAGGTGGGGTTCAGGGTTTAGTGTTCTTAGGGTATTTAGGGTTTCAGGGTTCAGGGTTTAGTGTTTTCAATGTATTTAGGGTTTCGGGGTTTTGGGTTTAGTGTTTTTAGGGTATTTAGGGTTTCAGGGTTTAGGGTTTAATGTTTTTAATGTACTTAGGGTTTAAGGGTTTAGGGTTTAGGGTCTAAGTTGTAGGTCTACTAGGGTTCAGGTAAGCTGAACTGTTTCCCTGAACCCTAAACCCCCCGATGGATGATGTGTGGAGCCCTAAACCCTAAACCCTAAACCCTAAACCCTAAACCCTAAACTCTAAACCACAACGACTCCTTTCTCACCTGCGAGCCTGAGGGCCTGAGTCTAGGACATTTTCGGGTGGTAGTTACCGTTATAGGAGCCTGATAGAAGCTCTATATACCTTTTAAAAGCCTTATAGAAGGCCTTTTCACCCTAAACTCCCCACCTGAAGTTTCCTTTCACTTAGCACCGAAGCCCCCGTCCCAACCAACAGCTCCATGTAGAAGTCTTGCAGCACCTTCACAGCACCTTTGAAGGAACCCTAGCTTATAGAGGAAGGGCGTGAACAAATAGACTGAGGATTCTACAAGTATCTTATGACAAAACAATCCTCACAAATTATTCGAGCCCCAATAAATAACACCACCCGCCCTACGCCCCGAAATTTCCCTCCGAAACCCGAAACCCTAAACCCTAATGCCCAAAACCCCAAAACCCCTAATCCCTAAACCCTTCCAAGATCTCAAACAAATCCCGTCATGCTACACCCTAAACCCTAAACCCTAAACCCTAAATCCCTAAACCCTAAACCCTAAATCCCTAAACCCTAAACCCAAAACCCTAAACCCTAAACCCAAAACCCTAAATCCCGAAACCCTAAACCCAAAATCCCTAAACCCTAAACCCTAAACCCAAAATCCCAAAACCCCTCATCCGGCGGCCTCTGCAGCAGATCCTCGGCAGAAGCCCCAGGGGCCTGTCAGACGTTTCGCAAGGGCCTCCCTCGACCCGAAGCTCTCTTTGAAGGGGCTCCTTTAAGGGTTCCCTCAAGGGCTCCTTTAAGGGTTCCCTGAAAGGCTCCTTTAAGGGTTCCCTTAAGGGTTCCTCTAAGGGCTTGGGGTGTTGAGTGTTTTTTGGGGTTTCTTTTTTGTTGCTAACTGGAAGGCTCTGGTCTTTGGGGTTGTTAAGTTTGCTCTTAACTGGAGGGTTTAGAGTTTCAGCGGAGCATTATTCAACTATTGACGTGGAAGGTTTGAGAATGAATCCTAGGCCCTACGACCTCAACTAGGTTTTGGGTTCCCCGGCTCGTCCGATCGAGATGGACGGATTGACATGTTTTGGGCGTTTGGTTTTAGGGGCTGAAGAAAGTCAAGTTTGAACCCAGGTCACGGTGCTTTTGACTGCGGCGGCTCGATGACATGACAGTATCCGACTGAACTTTCGGGCAGAACCTTCTCGCTACGCAGCATATTGAGAGCTCCATAACAGCCCATCTGAAACCCTTACCCGTTGACGGGGTCGCAACCTTCTTCTGCAGTACCCTATTGTCTGCTGAGTGACTTTACGCCATTCTCACAAGGCCTCCTACAGAGCCGTCAAACGGAACAACTGTTGAGAGACTGAATGACGAGAAAACCAAACCTATGTCTTGCTGCTTACCCTCAACCATCGTACCTGAGAAAATCGAACATGGATCCGTGAAGGTGAGACACTGCCCTCAAAACCTTGCCCCGTAAACTGCTTGCTAACCCACACGCTAGCATGGCTTCTGAACCTTTGCAAAAGAGGCATGACACCCTTAAGCGATCCTCTAATCAGTCTTTATCAACAACTTACAGAAACGTGCAATACCGTCCAGATGCCTTCACAGAACACTTATGAACTCGGAACCAATTCTATTCCTCCTGGTCTGTACTGCCACAGGCCTTGGCAAGTGCTTTGAAGCTCTCAGCACCTTTCGTGGTGCACAAATCCAACTTCCCAAAACGCGAAAAGGTGTCGGGTTCGCGACTCAGGGTTTGAGACGTCGACTTTTTTGGTCTGCCTGTGACGACATTTGCTTTTTCCTATCGGCGCTCCCTGCAACAGTAAACTATTGAATAAACATGATTTCGGTGATTGAACAGCAGGCGCTCTGTGCTGAAATGCGCACGCTCACAGGCCCACAGACTGAGTTCAAACAAAGCCCAAGCTCCGGCAAGGCCTCACCCGTGGTGACAGCCTTGTTTTCGCCGAGCATGCTTTCGGATTGGAGACTCAATTCAGTGTTTAAATGCAAAAAAAAACTTCCGGCAGTGCGACCGGTTCTAACCCCCTGATCCCGGACCCCGGCTTTTCGAGCAAAGTTCTGGCCCGTCACGTGTTGGCTTGAAAACTGCATAGTTCGGCTTCTACTTGGCAAAAACGGGGCACCCAACAGCATGATAGCCTTTAAATTTATGCGCAAAAAGCGTCCCCTGCAATGGTCATGTCCATGTGCAGGCCTCCGGCAGGACCCTCGTCCTCGAAGGCCGCCGCTACTTCAGCCTCCCGAAACACTTCTGTGACAAGCGACGTGTCATGTCGTAGTTTTTTTTCAAAGAGGTTCTGTCAATTGTCCGAAGCGGTGGTTCAACAGACCTCCTATTTAGCGGAAACTGCGGGATCCCAATTACCCGATTGTCATCCTTACCAGAGAAGGGCTTGTGAACTCGGCTTTTGCATTGCAAAGTTCACAGATGTTGTGGGTCCCACAGCTTCTGTTCTCGCAGGTACTAGAACATCAGCTGACATTGCCGACGAGGGTGACACTGACGGCAAAAGGACGGCAACAGGTTTACGGTGTGGGTTGTATGGACCTGCCATCCACGACGCAAGCGAAACGAAGCTTGCATGCAAGTGTGGGTCAAGGGGGCTAGCGCTATTGAGCAAGCCCAACTGCACCGGATTGCCCGGCATGTTGTCGAACCGCGAACTCGGAATCTCTGCATTACGACATGTGAGAGGCTCCGTTTTCATGCACGCTCATCATCTCCGTGCTGCTTTTGTGTTAAGCTAGTTGTTAAGCTGCAATGCAACGCCCTTTCGCAAGCCCACCCCCGAACCAATGCAATGTTTCACGAGGTTCGAGTGGGTTGCACTTAGCATGCGCCTGTGGTGGTGGGTGCATGTGCACGCATGCATTATAGTTGACGGCAAAGCAACACAAGCCGCCAGAGATGAGTAGTACTGTGACGGCAGGGTGTTCCGAAGACTAGGAGCAAGCTTCCTCAAGCTCCCAGATGGCACAAGCGCGCACTCAAGCGTGCCACTGCGTGGGTAGAGTGCAAGTGTCATTTCTCATAGAGTAGCGTCAGCAGCTTGTCGCCTTGCTTGTTGATGCAGCGCAGTGAGGTAACGCTAGAATAATTTGGGGCTTATCGGTTTGAAGGCAGGACTGCTTAACAGAACAGCAATGATGAACTTGTCTTACCTAGCACTTTGTATCAGAAACAACCGCATGTTGCTTCCAAACTGCTCCGTCACATGTGAAAGTATGTGCATGTTATGTAGGTGTGTGCGTATGTACATACATGCGTATGTATGTATGTATGTATGTATGTATGTATGTATGTATGTATGTATGATGTATGTATGTGAAATCCAAGACCTGAACCCCTCCTCCCCCTGCGATACTCGCAGCATGGGAGGGTAGGAACACCGGACCTTAATCCAAACTTAATGCCTATGTGGTGTGCTTGCTCTAGCATGCAGCCAAACAGAAGCTGTGATCGCGGCAGTCTCGTCGCATGCTGTGCGTGCGATTCGATTTCCCACCCAGCTAGCAAACGAGGGCATGGGAGCAGTGCCTTCTACAGAGGTAATATAGGGGCCTTAATTATTAGAATAGGGTTTTGGGGTCTTTTATAGTATAGTTCTAATAAGGAGCCCTCAAAACAATAGAGGTAATTACTCAGGTCCCTATATTACGGTTGCAGCTGTTTCTACGTAGTTGATTTAACTTATCCACTACACGAGAGGCGGGGGTGTTGGCGGGTCCTGTTACGGTGCGAACCATATCCGCAACCTGGCACCTTTTCAAACAACACTCAGGTAACTCGCGACTACCTGCCAGCTACTGTTGCCATGTCCGATATGTGCAGCTGTGACACCAACGGGTCCAATCCCAGCGCCTACTGTCATTTTCTTGGCTGACTTCTGAACCCCTCCTAAAAGTTAAACTTTTAGCCTACTTATTATGATTCATATAGAAACCCAAAAAGTTAANNAGAGCCAACCAGAAGAACCCCAAGTTTTTACATTGAGGTGACAATCCCATCCTTCGAGAACGACGGGCTCGATTCCTGTCAGTGTTGCCGGCTCCCGACACGCGGATCATGTATGTACGTACGTATTCACGGATGCACGAAAGGATGGATGGATGGAGGGAGGGAAGG